CAGGAAAGATATAGGAGACAAAATAATTAATGATTACAACAGCACAAAATTCCGATTATCAGGTTTTCAAACCATAAGCAGATTATTGTGGACAAGAAAATTCAGCAAAAACAAACTCTTCAAACTTTCTGAGAGCAAAAAAATACACAAATCCTTCTTTTTCCAGGAAGAACTGCTCCGAGAGGACAACTCACAACTTCGTGTGCAAATCGATTTAGCCGAGAAATCACGACAAATTGCTAAGAAAGACGCGGTAATTGCCCCAAAAATTGTCATGAGACTAATTGCTTAGGCGATTGATGCTGTCAATTTCATACCTTCAGGATTCGTTGGCGGCTATGCATCAGGCGTTGCTGACCGATCATGATCGTCTGCAAAATTTGCACGACTTGCTAACGCAAGACTACGAGAGGGCTCGTCTCGAAAACGTTGAGATGAAGACGAAACTAAAAACGCAGAGGGTTGGTTTTTCTTTCGTATCGATGTTTCTGTTTTAGAAAATTCTTAAGTATTTGTGTTTAGAGAAAACATAAGGAAAGGGATACGACGTATATGCATAGTTTAAATTAATACTTCAATCACCTTCTTATTGTAAGAAAATGGCACTGAAAGTCGACAACCCAAATTCACAAAATGGATGAAGAAATTTGCAAATCACTTGGCCATCTAAGATTCTAACAATTTTTCAAAAATTCTAATCTTCATCTAACTATTCGATTATTCATTCATTCATTCCATTCATTCATTTAATCTTTTACTCATCTATTCATCATTGATTCACTCATTAATTCATGTTCAACCATTCGAACATTCATCCTTTCATTCACTTAAAATAGAGAAAACAAGACTCGACCTCTTTAAAATTCTTGCAATAGTTGTTGGGCTTAGAATTTCACACGCAAATAACACTTTGCCCTTTCTTTCTTTTAGAGATATAATTCAAATTCTCTTTCACCGCAACCCAAGTAATTTTTTTCCGTTTCACTAAAATTTTACCTCCTTGTACTAATCTACTATCCAAGGGTATAATACCCATCTGCATCTTTTCACAATTAGGGACAGTCTGCCAATGTCATCTATACCATAAAAAGTAGGATAATATGGGTAATTACTCGCTATACTGAAGAGGCCATTCATATATTCCCTATTGTCCTTGGTTAGCAGCTTTTTAGAAACTGGGATAATTTTGTGCATTTCATGGCATTG